TTAGGGAGCTTGTTACGAATCCTGTTAGGTTTGGTAGGGCTTGTGGGGTTTCTATGAACGTTGGAGCTCTTTTGGGTTTCTAGGCTATGCCTTCATACTCACGGCAGGTTCGGGGCATCAGCCTTGATTTTTCTGCATCAGGTTGTGGCACGTTCGAGTTCGAATGATTGCCCGCAGGGACTGTGCGTACAGTCAGTGGTTTCGGAGTGATGGAAATGGAAATACCATTGGGAATTCTTTGTGCCTTGTGCCTGCCGCAGGCTCGCCGTCAGTGGTGCAGACGTGCAGCAGGCAGATGCGCAGGACGGAACTCTACAAACACAAGACCTGTATGCTGGTTTGCGCCTGTACTGTTGCGCCACATCGAGCTTCCGCCATGCGTGATCTTGGTGCAAGATGGTGCCCAGACCACTTCCCCGAGCCAACCAGCGTGTTTTGCACCCTGAGTCGATTTACCGCCTAGCGGCCTAGCGCAAGCAAGAAAGCGCGGGCTCGTTTCGGAATACTCCATCAGTCTGCATCAGGTGAAGTCTGCAAGAGGCCGCGGTGAGTCTCAACCTAACACTCCCAAGCCCAAGAAACTAATTTGCCAAAGCCAAGATTACGACTCTTGTGCTGGCAGGTTGTCGCCTAGCTATCATGTGTTTGGATTTTCATCACTATATGCTCAACGGACACTGCTCCGTTTCTTGCCCATACTCTTCCTCGCACCCGAATTGCCCTTCGATTCGTGTTCCGTTCTGTATTCGGAGTGGAGTCCGCGTGGCTGCAGCACTGGTGGCAGCGACAATAGGGCTGCAGATAGAAGTATTCCGGTGGCGGCAGCCGTAGTACGTTGGCTGGCCCTGCTTACGAAAAGCTCCCAGTAGCAAGTGCTGCTGCTGCTGCTGCTGCTGCTGCCGCTAACTGCTCCCTTTTCCTCCTACTGCGGCTGCTTCTACCGCGGCGGTGGTGGCTGCTACTTACTGCTGCTTCTGCTGCGACGACTAGGAGGCCCTGCGTCGGAGTCGCGGCCGGACGCTGCTGCTGGTCTATCCGCCACCCGGGCCCATGGCAATGAGGCAGGGCATTGCCTTTCAGTCGGCTATGGAAAGCAATTGAGCCTGAGGGAAGGCTTTTCTGCTTCAGGCTCTGGCTTCGAGCAGGGCAGGGCTCCGGGTCGTTGCTCGTGGGACGATACTCCTGCAGTGCTGCCTAGAGGGCAATTTCGGTGGTGTCGTGGTACTTGCTGCAGGTTCTTCTGGTCTAATATCCAATGAACACCTGGAGTGAGATTCTATGGCTTCCGATTTCTAAGCCCATAAGTTTGGGGTTTTCCCTCGCCTCTTGTCATTCCCACTTTGTGCCACTCCGGCTAACAGCCAGCAGCTGTCAGACCGACCTACAGTTCAGCCTTAAAATTAGGCCATGGGGCCTTTAGGCTTTAGGATTCAGAACTGCAAAGCTTTCTCGTTGCACGGAGAGCCGTGATGGATATGGAAGCTGTGGCGTGGAGTATGGAAGGCGTGCATCGAACCCTTGTTTGCCAGGTGTCTAGCCAGCTACACTGGAGATGTTCTACTTTACGTAGGGGAAGGCCTGGTGGGATCCCTTCTGGTGGCTCTGCCCTCAACCCTAAAAGTCTGCCGTACGGGTTATTGGATTTCGGACTTCCGGATGCAAAGCCGCAGCCAAGGACCTGAACATGATGAAGCCGGTACAGTTGGCCTCTTGTACAGTGTAATACCAGCATCGTGATGCATCATCCTCAAACCTGCCTGACATAAGACCTATAAACGTTGCAATCATGCTGTGGTTGTTATGTTCCGTAGCGGGATGGCTTTTGCATCTAGGCCCTTAGGCTGACCTGTGCTCCGGTCAGGAGCCTGTAGAGGGATTTCGGACCGGATGCAAGAGTAGTAGGCGCTGTAATCCTTACCCTTGTGGTAGGTCTGGCAATGCTGGCATAGATATCGCCATAGCGACCACGACCACAGTAATGGGGCAGAGAAGATCTACCGCCGTGCTTTGTGCTTTCGTCTCTTAACTTGGAGTCTAAGACCTTTGTCTGCGGAGACAGCTGTAGCTTGCGTCGAAGCAATGCAATGTCACTGGGTCCCATCCTGCATGTTCTGCCACTGTCTCTCTTGCATTGTTCCTGGATCACAAACTGATTTAGGATTTATTTAGAGTGGGGACCGAAGCCTTGGCCAGGACGTGGCGGAGTGAATGCTGATGGTCCTTTCTTCGATGCACTCAGCGTGGGGTGGACGCTTGAGGACTTTTTCCTGGGGCCTTGGATGACGCGACACTAAGCGATCTCTGCAGTCCAATTCTGCTGTAGTTATGTCATTATTATGTGATCTTAAATCCGATGAAGTTCGGTTATCTTCAGCTTTGCCAAGGACAGCCTTATGTTGTTTCTGAGCTATACCACATGGTGCAATCGAGTCTCTTGCCACCTTCCCGGACCCGGATTCCCCAAAGGAGACCATCGAGCTGGACAATCTGCCTGGGTAGGGCTCTCGGAGCCCTCGGCCTTGGCCATGATCCGTTGCATTTTCATCATGTAGTGAATGTAAGTAGGGCGGGTCAGAGCACATGCAACGTCCATCGTGGCATCAGAAGATGCGGATTTGCATACTGCAGAATAGGATCAGCTCATACAATGATATCATCTCTGAATGCGGTCAAAAGAGTTTACTGCAACTCAAAGGGTGAGACCAATTCTCCTCCGTCTCGAAGCACCCAGGAGCTACGAAAAGCTCTACCTCTTGCGGCGCTCGGCTGGCTAAGTGCTCCCTGCTATCCTTGCACAAACGTGCAAGAAGCGGCATGTACATAAACGCAGTGGCAGGCAGCGCAGGCCCGCTGAAAAAGCTGCAGTCCAAGTTCTCGCGGAGTTGTGCTAGATTCTCTTTCGCTGTGTTGGAAGCTAGTCGACCCTAGCAGACATTGATGCCACTGCGATGTGGCTGGAATGAATTGCCACCGGTGCCAAAGAACATCTTGTGAAACTCCAGTTGCCAGTGCTGCTATGGGCGTTTTGAATCTGTGGACACCGGTATTTGGAAGGGCCTCCCTCCCCTGCCTCCTACACAGACGTTGACAAAAACACAGTTTCCTGCGTTGCATATATACATTCATTCATATGTGCATACGTGAAAGCATTGATGCACACAGCAGCCCGTTCAAGCGATGCTACAACAACGGCCCCGTGCATGTACACACATATGCACGTCTACATATAGAAGCACACAGAAGCACATGCATTTGCACACCTGCATGAATATGTAAACAGTGCATGCGTATTTACATAGCTCCATGCATCCATCCATACATACGTATCATGCATGCATACATACAAATTTACATGCACTACGCGCATGCAAGAAAAACGTGCACATACGACTGTGTGTGGTGCACCTCGCCGCATGCCAAAAGTACGTGAAGGCCAAGAACTAGTCGTGGGTACATCTGCAAGTTAATGGTTTTGCGTATGCCTCGTATGCTACATCCCGCCGTCTGAGCTGCTCCTATAGAGGGGTTGGCCGGCCCAGCGCATGCCATGCTGCCGCATGGAAAGTTTGTAGCCGATACAGCGTGGAAAGGTTTGCTCGATCGACCTTGATACGACACTGACATCTGCCCAAATTACCAGACCACGAGCTGCATCGCAGTGAGATTCCTGGACTGCGACGCCATGGCAGAGCGTAGCATGGTCCCACTATGCTAGTCTCGAGCCGAGCAAAGGCAAACCAGCTCCTATTGCCGGGATGTTTGCGCTTCGCTGGGGTCTTCAGGCAGAAGTGCCGTTCCTGAGGCCTACAAATATGCGGGCTCCAATGTCGCCGGACTGGCAGAGGCGAGTATGATGCCATGTCAGAGAGGAATGTTGCAATGCTAAAGGATTTAGCATAAGTTAGCTCGGGCTCCCTGCACTCCCAACTACCAGCTACCAAATCTTCGAGGAGAGCCCCTGGTGTTGAAGTTTTAAACGTTCATGCGCAGCTTCTGAAGGAGCCATGTGGCGGAGAGCCTGTTTAGCGGTGAGCTCCGCCGATTTGACGGTGGTTGAAGGCGGCAGGTGCTGGGATTTCGGATTTGTGGTGGTGCCACGTGGGCCAAATACGGCTGTACGAGCTTGAGGTAGATGGTTATACATAGGAGGAGATTTGCTGAGAATTTTTAAACAATATGACAATCCGTTTAATCATGTTCGTTGTTACTATATGCAAATAGAGCTGACAAGCGATGACTACAATTGACAATTAATGCGAAGTACCGCGAAGACTTGGACACACGTCAGAGCTCAAGCGCAGTACAGTAAAGCCTAAGCGGCTAACCCTAGATTGCGATGTAGTTCTGCTGCTGATGATGGTAAGGACTATCAGGATGACCTTCTAGCTTTCATTGTTATTCCCATGTCAGAGTCGAGGCTAATTCTGATTTGCGGATTTGTTGCAAGTCGCCATCGTACCATCGAAGTCCTCACCTTGCTTTGCCATAGTCGTGATGCCGAAGAGCATCCCTTGCTCATCGGCACCCCGCCACCACGGCCTCCAGCACATGCACCTAAATTGTTTCTGTTTCCATCTACTGCTTGGTCTCGCAACTGTCACAGCTGGCGTAGCCAGGTACCAGCCCCACCAAAGTGGCGGTAGCCTTGGACAACGTTCGCGCCCCATTCCTCTTGCCCTGAAGCTTCGAACAGAGGGTGGCCCCAGGTTCCCCGAGGCTTCCACGCTTGCCGGGCTGTTGACTTCTTTGCAGATATTGGACCCTCTGGGGCCCTTCTAGGAGAAGGACGCTGAGGTGTTGTGGATGACTGTGCTTTCGGCTGGAGGTGGCTGCCACCTTAGAGAAAGACCTCGAGGAAGAGCGCAGGGAACGCAAGGAGCAGGCCGGTCTTGGGGGCTTGGGGCAAGCAAAAATTCAAGGGATTAAGGGTTTAGGTCGCCTCTTTTTTCCAGGTTTTCGAGCCCAAGTGTGGCAGTCATTTCCGTGCACTGTAATGAGCTAGCCTGCCCATGCAGACTTGGGGCGTTTTAGCATCCTTCAGGAAGGTTTCGACACGCGATGACACACGATACATTGCTGCGACTCGGTGAGATTTCATGGAATCCTGCTACATCGGGCAGCATCCAGCCATGTGGAGGTGGGCTTTCTGAACCGGATCTGCCTGAAGGAGCGGGAGCTTCTCATAGGCCAGACCCGGAAGACGGAAGGAGACAGAGAGAGGGGCAGAGAGATAGCGAGAGAAAGAGAGAGGGAGAGAGACTGGGCCTTCTTTATCATGTTCTTGCTCTATGTCGCGTTGTCTCAACTTTACTCTCCTCTTTTGCGGGGGCTGTAAGCCTAGGTTCTCTAGTACCGTTCTTTCCACTCCAAGAACGGGTGCACCGTCGCGCTGGGGAGGGGGGCAACCGCTCCACCAAACCTGCAGAAGGAAAGAGAAAGAGAGTCAGAGAGAGAGAGAGAGCGAATGAGTGAACCGATTCGTTTGATCTTTATCGGTTTGTACTATTCTCCTTTGGCTTCCTGAGAAGTGCTTTTGGGGAAAGTACACGACCTCAGAGTAGTGTAGAGTGCTGAGCTTGACATCATGGCACGCATCTGTGAACAGTTGATGTGCTCTAGGCCATTCATTTCCTTCCACAGTATGCGGCAGATGCATGCGTTCCCTGATGTCATTTGCACTTTCTATCCGCCCATCCCCACGACATCCTTGTCTACATCATGGGATAAGAGGTTTTCTTGCTCCAAAGTTTAATGTCAGCTATTTTGCCCTGTATCTTCTTTTCGTCATGTAGCAAGTATCTCATATGAGGGGAGTCATGTCCTCGAGAGCATACATACTAATACATCCTGTTCGTCATCGTATGCTTTACGGCATGAGCGCCCGGGGGTCCCAACCGACCCCTATGCCCAGAGAGAGAGAGAGAGAGAGAGAGAGAGAGAGAGAGAGAGAGAGGTGAAGGTCCCCGCGCGCATGGCCGGATGTAACATGTGACTTGGGCCTGGCAGGTCGGGCAGAAGCCTTCCAGAGGCAACTTGCCGAGGTGCCCTGCTCGAGAGCCTTTGTTGAAGCTTCGGCGCATCTGCCCACCCGCGCCCCGCGCATGTTTGCAGGCTCAGGAGCTCTGGGAGAAGGAAAGAGTCGGCACCTTGCAGCCTTGCTCTTCTTTTTCTTCATCTTCTTGATCTAAGGTATGAGCTATACTGTCGAGTGGCGGTCTTGCTAGTTGGGAAGACCCGCAGAGCTGCACCACCTCTCCTTGTTGCTGTGCTCTTTGAACTGGTTCCTCACCCGAAGCCCAACACTCCCCCAAACCGAAACCCCTACAACCCTAAAGCCCCAAACCTTTAACCCTGTAACACCCTGAAGATTCTCCCTGAGGTCCTCTTCCAGGATCGTCTCGCCGCTTCCGAAGCCGTGGCTGGAGCTCAACCCGAGCTCCGGACACTGAGGCCAGGCTCCGTCAAGATGAACTTCCCGTACATGTGGAGATGTAGCCTAGTCGCTCTTCTCTCTCCTGTCTCTGCAATTTCTGCCTCTCTCTCGCTCGTTGAGTCTTTCTCTTTTCGGATAGATGGAGAGAAAGGGAAAGGGTAGATTTGCATCTACCAATCCTGCATCCCGAAACGGGAGGCTCGAGCTCGAAGGCTCCAAGAAGGAGTCAGCTCTCCTGCGAGCCGAGATGAAGGAGTCCTACACCCCTGAGGGCCTGAACCCTAAAACCCTAGACCTAGGCCCCTAACGAGCACTTAAGCCCAAAGACCCTCTTGATGGCTTGCTCCGAAGATCCTTGACGAGTTTTGTGCGCAGCCGCGGAACCAAAAGTTTCTTGTACTCTCAAACTCAACCCCTTGACCCGCATCCTGGAGCCCTCAACCCCCAAGATCCTTGCCCTGAAGCCGGCTTCCGAAGGCTAAAGCCAGCATACTGCCTCCCTCCCCCCGGGCCACCGCCTCTCACGAAAAACTCCCTGGTTCTTAGTAGGGAATGGGGGAATGGGTTATTGGGACTACTATAGGGGACCTTAAGGGACTATCATAGGGATCCATTCCCCCATTCCCTACTAAGAGCCAGGGACAAAAAGCTTGCAGGAACTGAAGGAGGAGCTGCGGGTCTGCCAAGCCCAGCGCGACACGGCGGTCTCGTCCTTTCAGGAGGTCCGGCCGGGGTTTTTCAAAGTGCCACCTGATCAGGGCCCCTGGCGTCTTGAGAGGCTAATTTAGCTGCAGTTAAGGATTTAGGGTTGGGTCAGGTGCTTCATGGGGGTTTAGGGATGGAGGCTTAGGATTCAGGGTTTAACGAATTAAATGAGGAGCGGGGTTACCAATCACTGCGACCCTGATTCTGGAAGTGTTCGCAGTACACACCAACGATGACCAGCGCTGCTTGGGGGATGGCGCATGGGTCTTTGAAACCCCTCGAAGACGGACCTGTTTGCTCTCTTGAGGATGAGCTCCGTCTGCGGAAAGCATTTGAGGGGCCCTGAAACGTCTTCTGCGAGGCCATCCGTATGCCGTATGCCCGAGGTCTCGGCTCCTCACCTTCCATCTCGCTCCTCAAGCCCTCCAATGTTGCAGCTGACTTTCAGATGTATAGTCGTGTAGTCTAGCATAGCATCGTATAGTAGAATAAAGTAGCCTAGGGTTTAGGATAATATTAGTAGAATTGATACAGCGAAGGAAACGATTCGCAGCCTCTGCCAGGTCCAGGCGAGGCAGTTCTCACGCGAGGCGGAGGACACCTCGGTGCCAAGAGGAAAGAGAGACCGTTGCCAGCAACGATACTATTTTGTTAATTATGTTATGTTATACAGTATCTACCATGTTATATGATACTGCATGTATGTCATTACACTGTATTGTGTTGTACCATGTTATAGTACATTGTACTACAGTAGATTATAAAACACGGCGTTGTATTTGCCGTAAGGAGGAATTGTCAAGTACACTACACCTGTCTTCCCAGCCGAGTTTTCTTCTGGAGCACACAGCTAAGCATGGACAACGCCGAACGTGGCGTATGCATGAGCACACGTACCGTCAGCAGCCTCACCATCACTGTCACTATCTTTGTCAGCTTCATCCATCATCCACAACCTGAGATACGATCTTGGGAAGAACCTGTCATCATATTCGTCACCATCGTCGTCGATGACATTGTCAGCATCATCAGCATGAGCATCAGCATCAGGGTCAGCATCCGCATCAACATCCTCCTGCTCCTCCTCCGCCCTCCTCTGCCTCATCATCGTCATCGTCATCATAATACCATCGGCTTGGCGCTGCGTATCGGACGCGTAGTGTCGCGTGCTGGTAGTGCCACACACCGGTATGCCTTAATCAGTTGCGATAGTTGCAAGTCAAGCCGAGTATGGGCAGGCCACCAATCGTCTGCGGAGCGAGTATGCCGAGCAGCGGCAGGTGCGCGCTGAGTCGTCGACCTGCAAACCAGATTGTGCGAGTGCACGCCTGCATTTGGGCGATGTTTGCAGGTAGCACGTGTACATTAGATTCATGCTGGTGTACACCTATGTATCTATCTATCTATCTATCTACCTACCTGTCTATCTTTCTATCTATCTATCCATCTATCTATCTATCTATCTATCTACCTAAATTTAGATAGATCGGTCGATAGATAGATAGATAGATATATTTATTTGTTTGTTTATTCACTTGTATTCGATGTACATGCACATTATGTATGTACACACACATACACATGCTCACAGACAGGGAGGTATGCAATGTGTGTATGTATGACTCTATGCATGTATGTGTGCACTTAGTACGTAGTTTCAGTTGGCAACGCCGAGGTGTTTCTTGAAGAAGCATCCGTTGAAGTGCAGGTCTGAGCACTCCGTGCGCTGAGTGTTGATGGTAATACTTGATCGTAAGAATGCTGGCAGAATTTGAACAGTAGAACGAATGGCGAATACGTCGTGGCAATAGCCTTCGTCTTCGCAGTCGGCCTGGAGCAACAGCAGCATTGGTTTTCAATGTGAGCAGTAGGTGCGACGGCTAGAGGCCATGCAGGCGATGCTTGCAGCTGCATTGTTCAGGTCAGTTGCTATCGCAGCGGCAGGAAACAAAGTCCCAATCTATTCAGCTTCTCTCCGCGTCGAGAAATTACCCCATGGACTGATGAAGATCCTTGTGCCAAGGTGGCTGCGCTGCGGCAGCAACTCCAGACTCTGAAGCATGGCACCTGGTTCACTCGCAATCCTCAGTGGTGCCCCAGACTTCCTGATGCTCCGCCAGAAATGGGACTGCGAGCCGCTGAGGCAGGAGAAGGAGCAAGCTGCAGCAGAACTTCAGAAAGCGCCCTGGCTGCACTTGCTTTATGGTTATTCAGAAGGTTTGGTCGAGTCTAGGTGACCGTGCAGCCCTGCGAAGCTGTGCAGAGGCGCGCCAAAGTGAGGAGGAGCTGGCAGCCACGCTGAGGCAGTGCAAAAATAACGTGCAGTCACAGCTTGCACACTTTTGCCTGGCCGCTTGCAGGAGGTAGAGGCTCAGAAACTACGCCTGCCTGTATTTTTGCGACCTAACTTGCTTGAGCCTCGTGGCCAATCCAGCTGTGAGGCAGGAGAGCGAGGAGGAGAACCAGAGTGCGCTGATGAGGGCCATTTGGCAACTGCAGGCCAGCACTCCTTCTCGTGTTGGTGAGATTGTCACTGCCAGTGTTTGTTGCTATCGTTGTTGTTGTCACGGCTGATCAGGTATTGCGAAGAAAGTTGAAGCAACGGCAGAAAAAATACTGCACAGCTACAACCCCAACTGTTACGCAAACCTCGTTGTCTCTGAGACCTCCATGGGAAATGTTGAGCCTATCAATTTGAAGAGAGTCTTTTCGAAGCCCGCATTGGGAAGAAGGTGGCGGACGACTGCGTGGTGTCCTTGCAGGGCCGCTTGCAGGAGGATTTCTGTGGGGGATAGCGAGAAGACATAACTACCACACCGATGCAAACATGCTGACCTGTAGGAGATGTATTCCCATTACCAACAGAAGCTGCAGCTGTGAACAGCATTCCTGCCCCAGTGGCAGCAAAGGAAGTGCCAATTACATTGCTGATGAAAGTCTAGCGGGTAGCATCTGGAATCTCGAATCGTGTTTCCAACAGAAGAAGAAGACCACTGAAACCAGACACACCCCCAGAAAAAAGATAGATAGAAATAATATTTAGAGAGAACACGTATGCCGTATGCAAATACATATACATGCTCATGTAAACATATACGGGCTTACATGCATACATGCATCTATGTATATTAATATAATATATGTATATAGAGTATATACGTATATATATATATACACACACATACATGTCCCTGTCATGTCACATATATCTATAGGTAAGCGTGTATACATCTATATAAGCACACTTACAAATAGGGGTATGTACATGTATATGCATACATAGTACACACACATATACATCTACAGATATAGGTACACATATACACGCATGTGTGCATTTATACATGTTTACAACATGTGCATATCCACGCATAAGTAAAGTATTTGCAGCAACGACAACGCCTGCCAGGAAATGATAAGAATCACAAGGCTCGGGAATGACGATCATGACAACGAGATGGAATGATGCTCATGTTAACAAAACCGAAGATACGGATGGGAAGAACCGCAATGATGATAGCGGCAGCTACTCCAACACCAAAAATCATGAGAATGCCAAGTCGGAGGACAAGTGCCATGCTGATCGTGGTGATGGGCCGGGTAATCATGACTGACTTCTTGGTACCTCGATGTCGGTCCAAGTCGCGATTCCTAAAACAATTTGCAATCTTACGGGGAGCGGCAGTTGGTATGACGACGGTGACAGGGCACCCGATGCTGCTGATGATGATATCGATGATTCATGGGATTGGTTGGTTGACTGCCTGATTGATGGACTGATTGACTGACTGACTGAGTGTATGATGGATGGATAGATGGATGGATGGATGAATGGATGGGTGGACGGATGGATTGACGGATTGACTGGTACATCGATTGATAGGTTGGTTGCCTGACGGACTGATGGTGATGATACTTATGATGGAGACGATGGTGCTTATGATGGAGTCGATGACAGTGAGGATGATGATGACGATGCTGGTACTGGTGACAGCATTGACAAGAAATCCTTTTCAACCAAGTGCCAACCATGACTAGCATGATAGGACGCAGCTGTGTCGGAAAGATGCTGCAGGCAACAAATGGCCCTGAGTATATTCGTGGCTGCAGTGGAAGCAATTGCAATTCCGTTCTGGTCGTGGTAATCAGAAGAACAGTACTGCTCAGAATGAACAGCACGGTTAGAATCACAGTCGGATGATTGAAATCGAAGGTGTGATGTTCGTGAGGCGAACCAATGTCAGGTTTACACACCTTCCGCGTGTAGTGGATTCCGCTGACGTTGCGAGGTGGAAAAAGGTGTTGAAAAAAAGAATCACAGTCGTGACGGGAGTGTCAACCGTGATATCAGGCATGAGCGGGATGACGAAATCAAGCGAGTATCGAGGCTGACGCACTCAAGAAGCAAGCATCGCGGCTTAGGACTGTGCCGACAGCATCCGACAGCCATCTCTTCCTGCACCCTTTCCTCTTGGTCCAGACGTCACCAGCAATGATGCAAACAAGGCAACACTCGACACGGCCGCAGGCAGTGCTACCCGTAGCGCCGTAGCATTTATGAGCAGCCTTAACCACAGCAAGTCCAGCAGCAACGGCGCAGCCGTAGCTGGGTATCGTTTCCGCCAGGAGTCGGAGAACTACACCGCCTTCCACTGCGAGTGGCGTCCTGAGCTGCATACACACTAGGTCATATTCGTTTCCATACATATACATAATATATATACACACACATGTACTTATGTATTTCAACTATTTATGTGTTCATTGGTTTGTCATGCACTGTACCGTGCTACATCATATCAGCTATGTCACATGCCATGTCAAATCATGTCACTTCATGCTTCGGGTGGACAGGCCACCCAAAGTAAGAACATGACATGTTTATTGTCTCGCTCCGCTCACACCGCTAATGTTAATGTTGATGAAGCCCATGCGTGATGCAGAATTTGTCGTCCATCCGCATACATACTATTGTTTTGGAGAACTGCTTCAAATCAATTTTGATGAGGAGAGTGCCTGTTACAGGATTTTGTCAATTCACAGATTTGTCATTGCTGAGAATTGTTTGACATCAATGTTGGTGAAGCGCATGCGCGATGACGGATGTCGTCCATTTGCATACATTCCGTTTCCAGAATGGCTTAACAGTTTAACATTAATACCAAGTTTCAGGGCTTGGAAAGGGGGGCAGCAGAAGAGTGTTGCAGAAGTTCGTTAGTCAGCAGTATCACTACATATCATGACCATATCATGCTATGTCATGTCATGTCATATCACGACAAGTATGGCGTATGATAATCGTATTGCAAAATCATGCCAAGTCACATCATATCATACCATGTCATGCCATGCCGTCTGAGTTCATATCATGCATAGGGTGTATATGCACACACGCACACACACACACACCGTGAATCACATATGTGCACGTACATATCTACACATACCTATGTACATACCTACGCACACACATACATACATGCATGCATACATCCATGCATGCATACATACATACATACATACCTACATACGTACCTACATACGTACGTACATACATACATGCTCACATACATATATACATACATATATACATACATATATACATACATACATACAAACA